TCCCTACCCAATTAATGCCTGTGATGTGCACTGAAAGCAAAGATGGAACTGTTACAGAAATAGTCCATTGCTAATCCAGGGGATGGCCAAGTAAGGATTACCTTTTTTGAGCTTCCTCACTGCCAGCATGCGGTGCTGGGAGGAGAGTTCCCAGATGCGGAGCGTTTTATCATCACTCACTGTTGCGCACACAGGCAGGAGGGGATGAGCTGCCAAGCCCCAGACTTCTCCTTCCATATGACCCTTCAGGAAATCATTTCACATTAATGAAAATAATGCATTGGGGGTTGTATAATAGGTTCTAACACTTGCCCTGCCTCATTTTACAAGTCTCAGGCAATAAGGCTTTCACAATCTCCTCTCTCATGTTTTTCACATTCAAGAAGATCTGTATGTCTGCTTTTTCCTCTGCTAACTATTTAAAGTACTCTTCCATAGTCTCCTCCACTATTACTAGTTGTTATTTCTGTTCTTTCAGGACCATTTCTTGAAAAAAAATGGTCACCTTATGCTTCACAACACATGAAATGACAACTGTATGTCACTATAGAAAGCTGTCAGCACTCTAACAACAATTTTTCACAGGATCCTTGAGAATACACTGTATTACTGCAGTAAAAGGAAATAAATGGAACCACACTGTCAAAATAAAGTAAATTGTGTTAGATCTACCCTTCATTACTCATTTTTATGTTGGGTCCTAAACTTAAGTGTCTAAAAAATTCACAGAGAATCTCATCAGCCTTTGAACTCAATGGATGTTGGGTTTGCCTTCACAATTCTGTGATGCACAGTGAATCTCACATAAAAATCTTACATAAAAATCACCAGCTTCTGCGTGAGCAAGGCAAAGAATGGTGGTCACAGGGTTAATGAAAACTGAAATGACTGGGAAAATGTCTTGCATTTCTACAGGAAGTAGTTTGATATGGAAGATCCATATTGTACCTGAACAAGGAGAGTCATAGGCCCACTTTTATCAATTTCAAGTATCTCCCCATTTTTAGTTCCCACCAGGATATGCCCATGGCCCAGGCTGATGGCTCTGATAGAGGGATTGTCTTCTAAGAGTAAACCTGAAGAACACAAATATATTAATGTTATATTTTTATTAGGAAACCAGAGACTCATACCACCTACAATTTATATATAATTAAAATCTGCTTAAAATTATGATACATGAAATACACTTACCTGATCAAACCGCTAGATAATCCATGAATTTCACTAAGAGATCAAAGCCTGTGCTAGTCTGTACTGTGGCAATAAAAAGACTGACATTTTATTGCTCTAACAGTGACAACTGTCTAAGGGGTTCAGAAGCGTAAGCAACATGGACACTAATTCTGTGACTACATGTGAATGTCCCTCTCCAGACTTCCACACTGATACCTGGGGAAGTTACCAGGTCTTTCCAAATCACAGGGGCCCTGGTGTCACCACATGAAATGTGGCCAGGGGAGGAAGCTGGCTGCTGAACAGCCCAGACCTTGGAACAATCAGACTCACAGGCTGGTGACGTTTCTTCTTAAAATTCTTTCACCGACAAAAACCAAGCTCAAAGTCATGAAATCGAGGAGGAAATAGCAGAACAAACTATCAGTGGCAAAGACTATGTGAAATATAACTTATATCATTCAAAGCAGAAAATTCCAGCACAGAGTAGTAAGCAGTGTGTTACCATTTCCTTTGTGTCCTGGAAAGATTTGACACCAGGACTACCATTTTACCACCCTCTGTGCCTACAAGTCCTTATTAAAACACACTGAAAACACAATACCTTTAGAACTAGGAGATAGTGCTGCTCTCTTAATAGCATATGTCTTCAGACATCTTTCAAACATATCATCCCAAAGAGCCACAATTCCATCTTTTCCACCAGTCACAAAGCCCTGTACAATCACAGCAGAAAAACACACACAAATGTCAGCGCTCATATGGTAAGATTTACAAAGACATGTCCAAAGGCAGAATGAAGTCTGCCCTGCATTTTATTCATGTGCCAGACTGAAAATACTCGAGCCTGTACCTATGAGGGAAAAAAATACACAGGAATGAGATTTAAAGTTGCTTTTCTAGGGTTATAACGACTTAAACCACATGGAGTACATACTGTTGTAAAGAGTAATGCTGGACCATGACGTTTGTCTGCATGTGGAAATAAGCTATGGAAAACTACGTACTTTACCCTTAGAAGAGGTAGCAGTGGGCAATAATAGCTTCTCAAGTTATTCCAAATTCAGCAAACTTAGCATGCTACAATCTGAGCTCTAATAAAGCATAAGGGACCAATTCTTTGATTATCTGTGCCAAGTAAACGCAAAAGGCAACATAAATGAATAACCAACAAAGATATAAGTGAAGAGGATGTTTGGTGCCAAGATCAAATTAAAAAAGTGATGGAAAATCTAGGAACAATCAATTAAGACCAGAGAGGACTGAGCCACAGGGATCTTAACTGACCTTGTTATATAAAAATGTTAATAGTTAACATTCTTCTCCTCATGCTGTACTCCTACAGTTGAAACTATAATCTCAGAAAGGATGTTCCATTATCAACGTCTTCATATTGCCAGTGGATTTCAAGTGGCAAAATTTGTCCTAACCTCATTTATGTCTTGTCAATAATATATTTTGCCGTGGTTACTTTTAAAGATTTATTGAGGCAACTAAAGGAAAACAGTTAACTCAAAACCCCAAACCTTTGGATATTTGAAGGCTTGATTAAGATATGGTGATAGTATTACTAAAAAATCATGTTTCATATTTTGGAAGTTGATAATGCACATATTTTTGGGATCAGGTTGAAGAGAGAAGGAATGTCACCTATTGGGCTCCTGTGGTTTACAAATACAAGAATGACACTCATGAGCACAGTGATAAATAAATTCTGTACATTTAGAGGCCAGAAAGCTATTGGTCAGGTAACAGCATATATAACATGGTGCTTGCAAATACATGTCTAGCAAATAACAGAACTCATTCATATCAGCTTTGTGATTTTAATCCCACACAGATTCACTCAGTGCAACTCTTCTGTGATGGTTTTTGCGAAAGCTCCTTTGATGCTGGCGCAATGTAGAACAATGTATTGCATGCACAGACACGTACGAAACCTGACTCACTGCACTGGGAGATAAATACCTTATCCAGTGCATGCATGGCAAACACAGGACCATCATGAGCCTTCACTGTCCTCAGTAACAGGGTGTCCTTCCAGATGTAAATGTCTCCAGTAGCAGCACCAGAGAACACCAGATCTTCTATTCGGCCATATGAAACACTCATCATTGTTTCTAATTTCCCAGTGCTTCCGAAGGTTCCTCGTTTCGATGTAAAACCTCCACCTGCAACACAAACAAAAGCCTTTTTCTATTTGGGTTTGTAGTCATGGTGCTGCAAAGGACAAATATTTGAACTCATCCTCTCTTGTGGCTGCCTGAAATATAGCAGATATTGGAAATACTGGAAACAGTGCGCAAGGGAAAAGCACAAAGAGAGTCAACACAGTAACGGCAGTTCTGAGGCAGTGCAGACTCTAGTTTTCAGACTGTCTTTCCAAGCAAGTGATAAATTTGGTGAGGAATCGTGTAAAAATAATTAATGCAATGGCTGGCAGCATAGTTCATGCCCAGAACAGCTTCTGCCAAGCCTTTTCTCTTCAGAGGTGACCACATGTGAGATACTAAAGGTTTGGTTTAGTTGTCCCCTGGCAATTTGACAGCAGTTTTGTAGAATAAATGGCAGGGTATCAGAGAACTTCTGGCTATCAGAGAACCGAGTTGCCATGGACTTACTTTGGTTTGAAAGTAACCATCTGGGCCCATGAATCAGTGCTTAATTGTACAAAAACACATGTACAATTGCAAAATATCATTGGCAGTGGTGGCCCTGTGCACTTCACAGCTGACACCAGGCTGATAGTCCACACTCCACTGAGCACATCTTAATTCAAAACGCACCGTTTCATTGCAAAGAGCCTATTCCTGGAGTAAGATACTGCTTAATGCAAATTCTCCTAATGGAATTTGGCAAACAGCAACACAAGTCTATTTAATTACTGCAAAAATAACCTCAATATAAAAAAATGCAGGAAAAGAGTAATTTTTAATCTGTGAGGACCTGAACCACTCGAATGCTTAAAGCATGGTACAAGTGCAGGAAGTTCTTAAAGCTGCCTAATTTGGAGTTGAGTCTATTTTTAGCTGCCCTTGCGCTGCCTACCTCTGCTGAGTTTTACACACAAGATGTTCTCTGAGGTCTTTATAGCAAGTACTCAGGTCAGGTGTACACAATTAAAAGTCATGAACCACCAAAAATACAGTCTTGAATGAAAATTATCCTCAATCAGAAACCAACTTTGTGGCCTTTGTCAGTCTGACACAACAGTCTAGAATGACAACTACTTCCCAGGCTGAGTATTTTCCTTATTAGTTTGTGGAATCTTATCATGTTTTAAAATGTTGGAAAACACATTTTCATTTTTTGTTATTTAGAAAAATATATTACCTTGAGATCCTGATTCTTGCAATACCATATAATGATTTTTAGCCAAACAGATAAAATATGAATTATTCTAACTGAACTTTCGCAAAATACCTGAGTCTTAATTTCTTTTGTTTTGCCCAGGCACTTATTTTAAGGTCCATCGTCAAACCTTTCTGTCCTGGCACCTTGAAACATGTTTCCATCTCTGGAAGTCATCCCTGATGTCTGAAAAACAGCTCTGAAGGGTTACATCAGCACCTGAAGTACCCACACGACTGTTTTTAGCAGTGTGCCAGAGGCACCCAAGACTCTTCACTACCAGCTGGCATTTTCACAAGGGTCATCACCTGCCTAAGTGAGTTACAGGACTGCACATCTTCTGGGAGCCAAGGATAATGACTCAGGAGAATTCCTTAATAGCATGACTAATGTTAAAAAACAATTGGCTGGAAATTCTTTCCAAAGGGAAAGGAATATTGTGATGTTTGCTGACTCAGAGGTGGGTTTTCATCCCTTTAATATTTTGGTAACTGGAAAATTGCTTTAAAAATAAAACAAATTCTTAAACTGAGATTATGATGCTCCTGTATTAAAAATACACATATTCTTGTATACAAGTAAATATAAAATATTCAATACAGTACCTGTTTGCTGCCAAAATTTGATGTGCTTCATTCCAACTGTGACTAGTTTGTCTACATGATGTGGATTACACTTCACTACAAATATTTTATCTTTATGGCCCCTGCAATAAAGTGAAAAGTTAAAAAAACACAGTAAGGGATGACTTAACATTTCAAGCTAATTAAACCATTAATGTAAATCAGTTTCCCATCTAAAAAAAAAAGCAGAGAGCCATGTTTGTTATCCACAAGGGTTTAGGCCTAGAAGTCTAGCCCCACAAAGCTGGCAGAATGAATTTGAATGGGAATTACACTACAGAAATGTGGGGAATAAAAATTGCCTCCCACTGAATTTCAGCTCATTTAAGTCACAACGAAGAAGCAAGCAACAAAGGTCAAGGCAATTAAGAATAGACATAAAGGTCAATATAAATATTTAAATGTCTGAGAACTAAATCTACTGTGCTTCAAGATGAAAAATAAAATAACAAATTGTAAAATCAGAGTTCACATTCAGCAGCTCATATACCTTCAGGTTTAGTTCTTGAGTAATAAAAATTCTGTTTGTTGATGTATGTATTTACGGCAGTTTGTAAGCTTAAGTTTCACCATTGCAAAAACCATTCCCAGATGTGAAGCAGTAATTATTTCTATGTCAGTGTTTTATAAACCCCCAAAGCAGGAATTACAAGCTTTTCAATACGCATGTTCAGGTTTTACACCACGACAATGTCACTTTTGCCTGACAGGTTCAGGAGACCTGGAAAATCACATGATTCTGCAACCCTTCTTGGAGTCAGTGATTCCTTTTAGTGAACCAGTCTGGATGCAAAACAGTCCTTGACACCTTTGCCATGTGCAGCATATCTTGCAATGCCTTCTTCTCCTGTTCCTCTCCTCTGCTGTAAGGATAGCCAGTTCAGGCTGGTTATACTACTTGTTCTGGAAGCATCCATCACATAGGCAAAGTGTACTGCCCTGAGGGCCAAAACAAACTAACTTCAGCCTAGGACAGGTGTCCGTGCACAAGACAGGAGCATGTCTGTGTCTGTGATAGGATGAACAGTGTTGACACATGAGACCTGAGCTGTATGATACACATTTCCTCCCCAATTTCCTTGGTGTCCTTGTGTTTCAAGGGACTGGAGCAGGACATTGGCACTTACAGAATGAAAAAAGGAAAAGAATATGATGTTCACTGATTTAGATTGTAAATAAATTTGACAACCCTCCCTCAGCCCCTTGATGCATTGCAGTCCAGGAATACCAAAAAGCCTGTGATCAAACAGGACCAGCCCTGTATCAGCACACATGGCATAAGAAGTCAGGGAAAGGCACACAGATGTCTTTGATTCCAACAGCGCACACTTACTCAATAAGGATTTTAATGACACGAGACAGGAGATTGCAGAGCCAAGACAGGGAAATAAGCTGTATAATTTATCTCTGAAGCAATTAAATAAACAAGAGCATGTTCTGAACGTTGCAACAAGAAAACCGAGAAGTCATGCGGAAATAAATCAGCCTTAAAAGACTAAGCAAAAAGAATAAAATAAAATAATAAATAGAACTTCAGAATAAACATAATTAACATTTGTATATCATGAATGTACACTTCATTTTTCAGGTTTAGTCCTTTAGCTGAATTCCTCTTGTGGGTCTGTATGATTGGAAGGAGATGTCCTTCTGTTCTTGTGTGCTTAGGCCACAATGAGGGTCATGTCCTCTGTCTTGGGTTTTGTCTCTCTCTTTCTATGTCCTATTGTGCCTACCAGCACATGGGACTCGCCTTTAGGCACTGTTAGTATAAACCAGCACATTTGAGAAAATAAACTATTTTTTCTGCTCTCTGTGAGGACTCTGCATATTTTCAAAATAAGAGATTAGCAGTAAGATTAGATCCATTGGACACATACAGCGTTACATGGTAAAAGAACCTAAGTGCTTAATGTTCTATCTGTCGTGAGAGCAACCACGTAGCCACACAGCTCACTGTTACGCTGTTTTTAAAAGTTTAAAGGTCTCTCTGGGGATATATAAGATATTCTTTCACTTGCCAGTGTGAAGCACAATCTGTCTGGAGACAGCAAAACCAGGACTGCAAAGGAAGTTAAAATGTCACGTTTTACACACAGACAAGGCTGTTGCTAAGCAAACCCTCCAGCACAGATTTTAAACAGGATTTCAAATCTCACTGCCTAATAAACTGGATGCCTGAGCCAGAATGTATAGCTAATAGAGACTGCGGTACACACACAGATGGAGTAAAACATGCATTTCTTCGGTAACGGCACACTACCAACAGAAAGTGCCATGAGAAATTCTTGTTTCTTCTGCAACATGACACCACCTAATAACAAAAAGTAAATTACCTTTCACAGACACTTTTTTGCAGTTATACTATCAATTTCTACTGAGCAATGCTAGATATTACATGGTTGCAGACAGCATATGGCATTAACTCCCTGCCTTTCTGGCACATACGCCCATGCCACAGGAATTCGACTCAGTTCTTCTAGTGCCCTGACCTCAGAGGGATGTCCAAGGGTAGGACACAAACCAGGTTCACACAGTTTGATTGTTCCACAATGTACAACTAGTTCAGTATAAAGAAAACGTTGCAATCCAATATTTGAGAATATAAAAGCAAACATGTAAACTATAATCCAGTTGTCTTCCCAACATTGGTCCCTTCAAGCAATTGCAAAAGACACTTTGTTATCAGGTTATTAGCTAAGCTTTCAGTTATCAACTGCAAAGAGCAAACAGCTCAGGAAAAGTTGAGTTAGAAGAAAGGCAGGATCAGTAGCCCCTGAAAAATCTATTCATATGAGAGGCAACTCTCTTGTCTTATAGCAAAGCTATCTGGTTATGTACACAGCTGGAACCCAGCATGTCATCTAATGCACAAAGGAAATGATGTTTTGATGACTTCTGCTTTGAACCATGACATAAAATGGGGAGAAAATACTAATTTAACTTGAAAATCCTTAAATGAACTACAATATCAATGTGGCTATCCTAACAGAAAGGTTAGGGAACTCTTGACAGAAATAGTTCACAGGCTTTCCAAACACCAAGCCCAAGGTTTTCAATCTGGATAATGTTATTCTGAAACACCATTTTGTTTTCAGAGAGTTCTGGTTTCTTTGTTTATAGGAAAAATGTGGATGATGTTATTCAGAAAAACACACTTGCAGGGAACATTTATACCGCATGCATCCTTACCTGGTTGTTGCTAGCTTTTCTCCTTTCTTCCAATCCCAGAATACAATGGCATGATTATCATCTAGCCCAACAGATGCCAAACATTTTCCATCAGCTGTACAGAAGCAATACTTTGTGTTAAAGGTGCTAAGGCTTTAGCTGAAAACGTAACAGGCAATGAACACAATTACATTGAAAACTGAATTTCTAATAATGATTATAAATGAAGCAAGAAAAGAAAAAGAACTAACAGTTGGAGAGACTGGAGTTCAGATTCACTGATGTATTCCTTATCAAGTTGTTGATCTTTCCCAAAGGCATACACAAAACCTTCCTATGTGTAAGCACAAAAAAGGTAGGTAGGATCAAACAAGACAAGGAAAGCCAATTTCATAAAACCCAAGTACTTTGAATTCATATTACATTTTATTTATTTCTGATCAGGTGATGCTTCTTTTCTTTTCCTAGAAAAGGTGAAAAGTATTATTGGTCTATGAAATGGATGGTTAAAAGTTCATAGCAGTGTGATGAACCTATAAATATAAAAAAAAATTAAGGCTAAAAATAACTGCTGTTTTCTCTTTCACTGCAGGAAAGACACAGCACTACTAATAATGAGAGGAAGAACAGTCAGAAAAGGATATCATGCATAATTCAACAGCACCCCGGCATCCTGCCCACGTGTATGAAATAACAAACACCACCCCTGTTAAACTTTTGCAGACAAATTTCTGTCCTGAAATTTTGAAAAAATAAAAAAACTAACCCATAGTTGTTGCAGTATGTAAGACAATTGAACTTTATAGGGTGTAGCAGGGGCTGATTACCTGCTTATTTTTTTTAAAGTGAAGAAGAGTTAAAGCTGCAGGAAGCAAAGAGCTGGGCAGATGGCCAACATGCTGAAGGAAAGCACTGATTTGAGAATGTTGCTTCTCACAGAAGCTGATAATGTTAAGGACTCTGGGCTTGAGCACATTTGACTTCAAGAACAGAAAGAGTGCCATGGGTACAAATTACTGCATCAGAACTACTTCAAAGTTCATAAGGCTGAATATGTTCTCACAGTGTATAGTGACTGAGTTTTATTAGAAACAAGTAAAAAAGGAGAATGGGAATTACAGAATGAGGAAAAGAATTCACATTTGAATGAAATAGGCCCAGATGGAAGGAGTGTAAGTAGGCAGGAAGGAATGAAGTTGAAAAACAGAACAGAAAACCAGAAATGGGCTTATTAAAAAAAAAACAACACCACAACACAATGATTTAAACTTTATTCCCTTGAAACAGGAGAGGTTTATGCACCAACAGGACTATACACTCCAATTAATAGCCCAAAGTATAGATTAGCCACCAGAGGGCACAACCAAACATCGCAGAAATGACATGATCATCTTCGACTCAGAAAGTCACCAGAACAGTCCTACACGAGGGATCCAGCCCTGTACACTGCTCTCAGAAATGGCCAACTGCAGATGCTTTAGAAAGTGAGAAAGAGCAGAGAGAACTGGGGGCATGGAGTCACCTGCCACAGCAACTACAGCCAAAAAAGATTGGGAGCTTTGGGGTTCTTTCTTTACACTTCCAGTAGTGTGACCTGAACCTAATTTTTAGTCTGTTATTAAGAGGATGAAAGCTTGCTACATAAGACTGAAGTAGCCCTCTCATCCCACAGTGAGGTGCATATTTGCTCAAATATCCACCCCTGTCCATGCCAAGAATCTGAACTAAAGCCAGTTAGGAAGGCAGTATGTGCATTCTCAGGATCAGATCCTATAGCAACACTGCCATGTTGAGTGGCTGATACTTTTAAAAACAGCTTTAATATTTTGATACTTTTGTACAGATTTATGCCCACAGAATACATGGCCAGCTTATCCTTTACTTTTACAGAAGTATGTGGATTCTAACCCAGAATGCTCCTAACTTGTTAAATATGTAAACCACAAAAAGTGCTTTCAAATCTATGAACCTCTGTTCAACTAGGGATCTTTATGAGAAGTTCTTTAACAGCTTTGCATGCAGTATCAATTAAATCATCTTTATCCACTTCCCTTCTCTGGCACCACAACTCCTTTCGGAGCCAGGTTACACGCCACAGTGTGTCAGCAATTTCACATCTGAATTCCAGCTCTTGGATGAACACCAGGGCTCCTCTTCTGATAATGGAGTATGACTCAGTTCCACAGACTTATCTTAGTGGAAGTCAGACTTCTTTCATATAGTACTGTCTCATAAATATGATCTATGTCCTAATGAGTTCTTACCACATTTCTGGAGAGGAGACTATGAAATAAGTTATGTTTAATTGAAAAAAAATCAGATTAAAGATAGTTCAGCTAAAGCAATCTCTTTTTTTTTTTTTTAAAAACAGAGGAAGGGAGAATGAATTTTCAAGCCCTTTTATAAAGATGCAGAAGTATGTAAGTGCCCACCATATGGATGATGTTCTTGTATGCACATAGGAATTATCCCTTGAGAACTGAGATGGTTTAGGGCATCCAGCTCAGAAAGGCAAGTAGTAGAGACATCAGAAAACTGTCATATTTACCTCTTCTGTATACTCACTGAAAAATGTGGGAACTGTTAGAATTGTATGAGCCTAGAGATGACATTACTGACTTGTTAATACCCTTCGAGTCACCATCCTGCCTGCTTTTAAATTCATACACCACCATGTAGACAGACACCAGAATTCCAGCTGCACACTTGGTATTATCTATTAGGCATCACCAAAATCAATTATTGATCAAGTGACCAAAGGCCCATGACTGATTTTACTGCACACACTATTTTGATCCAGTCAGCAGAATTCCATGGAAAACTGGTACTGGAATTTCACAGCTATCAGAATTTAGATTTCATCACAAGGATTGCTTTTTAATTAATCATTTAGATAAAGGTAGGTTGTGGCTTACCTGAGAAATCCAGTGCACACACTCCTCTCTGATGCTGGCCTTTGAGCAATGACAAACATTTCAGTGTCTGAGTGTCCCAGACATGGATAGCAGCATCTCTTCCAACCTAAATCAGAGAGTTAGTTGGAATATCTGCCCACAGAAGTTCCAAGCACACTAACATCAGTAATTAGTGCTATCACTGCAGAGGTGACTGCTTTTCCACTTGCCTTATATCTTTTTCAAGATCTATTTTCTTTTTCAGAGAAGCATCAGGAGATGGTCTCGTACAACACCGCTATTCAGCATCATATTCATGGTATAATTTATCCTGATGTATGAATTTATATAATTACAGACTATATCATACTCAGTACCAGACATCTGCAGAGTGCCCAACACAAAACAGCCTGTATCTGAGGAAGGCTTTGTAGGCTAATACAGTACAAAAACACTGCAACTGACTGAGAGCCCCAAATCTCCTCAGATGTAGACAAAATACAGCCTCTGTGTTTTACAGGTGAAGGCAGAGGTTCAAAGTGAATAGAAGATTTTTGCAAGGCCGCAGCATAAGACTGGCAGTGTTTATGTTATACAGGAGTGGTTCAACAATCACCTCAAACCATTTTCAGTTTGGCAGGGATGTAGGAAACTATACACAGCTTACCTGTAGATAAGAGGAAACACTATATTTAAAGGAAAAAGAGAACCACATTTTTCCTAATGAGAAAAATAGTATTTCTATCCCTTCTAAATTCCCACCTGTCCAGTAGCGACATAGTCTTTGACTGGGTGAATGCTAAGGCTGAGGATGTCATCATCATGGCCCAGGTAGAGCCTCTGTGTGTGCTGCTGCCGGTTGTACACGACAGCCACAGCAGCAATGTGATACACCACTTCTCCTGTCTGAGTGTAGAACAAGTTATTCCGACAGTCATAGCCTCTGTAACTGAAGGAAACACAACACAAGTCATATTCTGTTCCAAAACGATGCTGAAAATTTATATAACAAACTGTGCAAATCATTTGTGCCTTAGCTGGAATGGAGTCCTGTGGTGCCAACTTTAGGTCAAAGGTACCTCAGACACTATTCCCAACGAGCACTCATGAAGCTCCTCATGGTTTCTGTTTTACAGGCTATTGGATTCAAGCAGAAATCTATCAGGTATTTGTACAAATCACAGCTATCACGAGTAACTTAACAGAGAATCTTTGCTCCAGGAAACATCAAGTGTAGTAAACTAGTGTAAAATGTCATTTGACAAAACACAGCATTTAGGTATTATTAACCAAATGGCTACAGTATTGCAACCTTCCCTTGTTCCTTAACAAATAGCATCACAGAATGGTTTGGGTTGGAAGGGACCTTAGTGATCATCTCATTACACCCTCTGCCATGGGCAGGGACACCTCCCACTAGACCATGTTGCTCAGAGTTCCTTCTGACCTGGCCCTGAAATACAACCGAAAAAAGAAAATCTATGTCTGATATTCTGTAAAATTATCCACAATAATAATGACAAACAAATTAATTGTGGATAAACACTGAAAAATGCTTTGTCAATGATCTGCTATGAATGGTTCAAATATTCCAGCAATGTAAATCAGAACTAACAAGTATTATCTAATATTACTCTACCCGTGTATAAACTGTAGCTTCAGGCTGTCCTCAGGCGCTCGCTCTCGTTTAAGGAAGGGCACAGAATGGTTTTTCTCTTTGCTTTGCTGTTTCAGCTGAGGTAGGTCTTCTTTGTAAACCTGCAGAAGAACTGTTACAGTTAACTGCACATCTCTGGTTTTCTAAATATTTGTATATATGAATGACTGTGACTTTAAGTATGCAATTTAATATATGCTAAATCAATGTTCAGCAATTTGCCAGTGTGTCCAGAATCCCAGAGTACAATTACAGCTCTATAAATACACTAAAGGCACAAAGGTAGGTCTTCTTTGTAAACCTGCAGAAGAACTGTTACAGTTAACTGCACATCTCTGGTTTTCTAAATATTTGTATATATGAATGACTGTGACTTTAAGTATGCAATTTAATATATGCTAAATCAATGTTCAGCAATTTGCCAGTGTGTCCAGAATCCCAGAGTACAATTACAGCTCTATAAATACACTAAAGGCACAAAATACTTTTAAACGCTT